AGATTAACCTGGCCAAACTCTTCCAGGCCTTCTCCTCCATCAAGTAAAACAATACACACATATCTGCAAAGACGACGCCACCGAGGGGGCTCCGACATCTGACTCAAAGCTGGAGATTTGCACATTCAACTGCATCTGTTTTGTCTGTTGTTGGTGTCCCATTATAGCAGAATTTAGGTTTTGACCTCCGAACCTCCATATCATCTTCCCTGAACCTAATGGGCCTGTTATATGACTTAAAACCCAATCACTCCTCTCCCCGTCTCCACTTTTGTCGCATAGACACTCATGACTTGACCTCATCACCCTGACTCTGTATGGTAAAGGGGTGCAGCAATCATACCTAAATGACAGTCTATTGTGTGTGTGGTGTGTGTGTAAAAAAAAAAATGGCTTATCCTCAGAGCAGCCAGTATACTCCAAAAGCCACTAATTAGCCAATGATAGTGACCCCGGCCACTAAGACCACTGGAGGCCTGCAGCGATCGGACACTTGTTCTGATTACCACCATTCATCCCGAGTGTGTGTTCCCTTCTATGTGTGTGTGTGTGTGTGTGTGAGAGTGAGAGAGAGAGAGAGAGAGAGAATGAAAGAAAGGAGTAAGGAGGATGCAGGGAGTGACAGGGGTGAGGGAGGCCACACGTTCTGCTCCCTCACTCTTTTGTCTCCGTATCGAACAGCTGATCTCCTTCTCCTCCACTGCCTCTGTTTAACTGATGTAATTTCATCCCTTTCACTCGTCATCTTCTCCTACCCTCCCTCCTCTGTGCAGATTGTGTTTTAATGTCTGTAATTTTCTATGTATCCGACTTGTATCGCTCAGGTTGGTTTATGTAATGATTTTTTTTTTTGTAATGACCAGAATATTTAGTATTGGGTATTTTGAGATTGTTGAGAATCTTTTTGATACTGAAACCTCAATAAAAAGCTAAATGGATATAATGTTAATGTTGTTTTATTTGAGATTCTGTGGGGTGATGGGTGGATGAACATGCTGAAGTGTCTTCATGTTTCCTGTTGGCACTGCATTCTGTAACACAACAAACATGCCTTGAAAGTCTCTTTTTTTTTTTTTTAACTATATAGAAAAAATGACAATATTGGGGTTAGGGTTACATCTGGTTATGTAAATCAAGCATCCCTTCACTTTATTTGACACCATACTAAAAAAATATGATAAGGTGATGTTCTATATTTTACTTAATCTCAACAAATCTCATAAAAAGAGCGAAACCAACGATGAATTGATTGTGGTGCCTGTGTAGCCAAGCCTGATGCAGTATATTTCATTCCTCTGTGCTCCACTATTGTCCAAAAACTATTAAAAACCCACAAATGAGCCGCATGTTTGTATGTTTGGGAGCTGATCCCACATACATTGACGTGCTGTAAATACTCACTAGTGCACCAAATGAGTTTTATTCTGCAGCTGAAAATAGAGCAGTGCATTTACTGGGGGATGGTTTACTCCAGTTTGACTAAAAGTTGCTAAAAAAAGAAAGAAAGAAAAAAATACAGTGCCCAGCTGTTTTACAAAATCACTTTTTTTTTTAAAAAGTGAAACTATATTTATGATCTATTTTGAGAGGCTTACTTTTTCAGACAGTGGGAATGTGATGATACAGACAGGCAGAGGAATGTTGAGAGGCGGTAAAAAAAAAAAAACATTGTTGACAAGACTAATATAAAATCGCCTGCTTTATCCTTTAAGTATATACTTTAGTGCAAGTATAATAAGTATATATAATTTTAGGAGAATAAACTGCTCCTGTTGATTTCTAATGAGACATTTTAGTTATTTCTAAACAGGAATACAGATAAAATCCTCTGTTACAGAATATGTCCTTTTTATGGCAGTATGGTGCATCTTGGGCAAAATCAATTGAGAACTGCTTAAGAATAAAATAACTGCTGCCTGTCAAATGAAGCTGGTTCTTTACATTGATGCCAAAGTAAAGAATCGTTAATGAATGAAAATCCAATGTTGGCAGTATCATTGTTTGGCCTATAATGACATAACAGGCTGTGGTATTTTTTTGATATACTTTCTCTGCTGTAGTTAAAGTTCAGTCTAACTCGCTACATGAAGTGTTACACCATTTTCCTCCCCAAGAATTCTCATTTGTGTTAATACAGTTGGGGGATTTTCTATTTTTATTATTTTTTTCTTTATTCCATCCTGCCGTGTGCATTTCCATAAACACTGCATGCCTCACAAATCACTTCAAACCACTGTGACTTGTGAAGGCAACCTTAAGTGGGCTGAACACTTAAACCATGATTCACTATGCAATGGATAGAACATGCTGTGTGTGAGAGAAAAAGTGTCTCGGTGCATTTATTTCTCATAACTTTACATATTTATTCAATCATATCAGCTCCACTACTTCTCCCACAGTTGCTTAGCTTGTTTTTGCTCTGTTTTCTCCCGGATTTAATCAGCTGCAGATCACAGTAGATGTGCACAGGCCTTCTATTCCCACTAGCAGACTTGCAGTTTTTTTTTTTTTTTTTTTTTTAAAAAGGCGAGGGCCTCGTTTTGTCCTCCCAGTTTGGAGTGAAACCAGTCAAATTGAGTCCCCTGCATTAATTCGACCCTGCTAAGCTAATAAGGTCGAACAAGTCTCTTTGTATTGTCGTGTTAAGCTTTATTGCTTGTCGTTTTGACCAGCGATGGACAAGGTAGGCTTTGATGAGGGAATTAGTCGCCTATTCTGTCCCTGTTATTCATAGCGCGGTGGAACATACAAGCACCAGAGAGGGTGTCAAAAGGAGAGCCGGTCCTATTGCAAAGTGTCTCCCTTGTTGGAGCTGAAAGGGCGGTTATGAGACGATAAACCGCTTAATACACTGAGCTAATTGGATGAGAGCAAGAGAGACGGGGAATTAAGGGGCGATCCGAGAGGGGAGCGGAGTGCCATGGCCCTGCTATTCAGGTCTTTTCATCGAGGCCCGGTTCTCCGCCTTGGGGGGGGAGGGGGGAGGGAGAGAATGGGAGGGTGGGAGGCTGTTCATCAAAGCGCCTTTTAGAGCTCCTCTCCCGGGGACTGAGTGAGGACTGATCCGGCTGAGGCTGTGGAGTGATTGGGCCTATTCTCTCAGGCGGGGACGTGGTGGGAGAAACGAGGCCCGGGAGAATCCAAATCACGGGCCAAATCAAGTCCAACAGCTGGGGGAAGGGAGGGGGGTGGAGGGGGGTGGAGGTGGTGGTGGCGGTGGTGATGAAAATGGGCACGACAAGTCAGTGGGAGGACATTTTCTGGACACCTGGATTCAACCTGTGAGAATGCATGAGCGTTTAGGTCTCAACGCACTGACACAATCCACCAAATCATGTAGATTTTCCCTTCGCGTTTTTTTGCAGCCAATTTGCAAGAAAACACCGCATGATTGGACTATATCCCCCCCCCCCACACACACACACACACACACACACACACACACACACCCCAATATATCAACATTCATTATCATGATCATTCATGCAACAAGAAAAACCTCATGGGCCTAATCCCAAGTGCAGGCCTGTCTTGAATGAGAGAGCACACATCCAACAAGTGTGACTTTATAAATCCAGAGCTATTGCCCCGCGACAGCATTTCAATTTTCTCGCCTTTTTGCGCTGCAAAGAAAGTTTAAGCCTCGCTCCCAGCAGGTCATCCGCCTCCCGGCATTCCCCAGATATTAGGGACAAATTGGTTTGCCATTCATTAGTTATATTCACAATAAGATTAAAACTCCCCGGACAATCTCATCAAAACCCTATAGGGCCATACATGGGATGGGGGTGGGGACCCACACACACACGGTCCACTGGGCTTGAGCAAAAGAATAAGAATTTAAAAAACATAGAGCTCACACATTGTAGATGATGGTTTGGGCGCACATGGAGAAAATTGGTTTTTATCTTTTTTCTCTATGCTTTTTTGCATTATGCTCCAAGGAGCAGCTGGGTGACTTTGTGTGAGGCTGCGAGTATATATGTGTGTGTGTGTGTGTGTGTGTGTGTGTGTGTGTGTGTGTGTGTGTGTGCGCGTGTGTGCCAGAATAAATGAATGTACAGAAATATCTCTCCCATCAGTCCCTTATCGGCTCTAATTCCTGCTTGTTTGGTCTAAATTGAGTGATTAACAGGTGTAAGACCTGCGGGACCTGTAAAACAAGACCGCTGAGCGAACAAGAAGAGGGTTTTTTTTCCACAGATGCAGACAATATGAAAGAAGGGACTACATTAATCCGCAGGGTAATTTCACGCGATTTGGTCGGGCACCATAGATGGGTCAAACGGAGGAGAATAACCATTGATTGCTGTAATAGTCCTGCATTAGCAGTGAGATCCAATGGAGAGAGGGGGGGGGAATTAACTCTACGATGTGTGTGTGTGTGTGTGTGTGTGTGTGTGTGTGTGTGTGTGTGTGTGTGTGTGTGTGTGTGTGTGTGTGTGTGAAAGCCGTTTGATGAAGTGGTTTGTTACTTCATTAATGACAAAGGGGACTCGCTTCCATCGACACGGCATTACAGATGTTAAGACCAATTTAGCGCCTTTAAAGGGTTTTAAAGGAAGTTTTGTGACGGGGCCCCCCAGATAAAGTGGGCGATCTAATTGAAAACCCCTCGCCTTTGTCGCGCGTTTCACATGTTGGGGATTAAGCTCATGAATATATGGTCAGTATTTTGTCAACTCCGCTCAAGAGGATAGACGCACGCAGCGCGCTGGATTACACACCTAATACATTTTCTGTTATTCAGGTGGAGCAGCGCGCCTCCATCTCTGCTCTCTGCAGCAATAAATTCCTCTCTGGAAAACGGGTTTTATCCTCCTCAGCGGGCGTTGTGAATATCAGACAATCTGTTACTGAAGTTGGTGTATTTACTTTACAGTCCAGTAGACTATTCAGTCAGTAATATGAAAAGTATTTATGATGGATTTATAAAAAAAACAAAGTTACATAAATTGAGATTTTGCAAAATGATTCTTCAATGTAAGACAGAAAACACATTTTCTTCATAACACCTTTTATTAATAGTTCTATAATATTCTATTTCACATTGTTTATTTTTCCTGGTTTAGGCCTATGTCAGTCCTAAAGGAATTTGAAATAATAAAAGAACTCATTTTAACAATGTAATTTATTCAAATTAGCATTATTATAAACCAGGAAACTTACAATCACTTAATAAGAAAAAAAAAACGTTCCTTCACTCAGTTCCTCGGGGAAAATGTTCGACATAAATAATTATCTAAAAACCTAATAATTCATAAACACAGGTGAAATTCTACACAGGGCGACATTCATTAAACACTACACCGAGTGCAAATTACCAAAACACGGTCTCCTGAAATATACACGACCTTGTTTTGAAAATCATCCTTTTTTGTGGTACTTTTTTCCCTCCTTTTTTACACAATATGTACAGTTTTCTTTCACACAGTCAGGTCATTAGAGACACGTCTCAGGTCTCAGCTTTGCTCGCATGTCCTGGAGTCAGACTCAGCGGAAATGCCACTGCTGTGATAATAACAAAGAGGAGAAGGAGGAGGAGGGGGGAGAAAGTCTCAAATTGCAGCAAATTTACAGAAATCTGACGCTGAAACGACCTCAAATAACTCCGGTTTGATTCGGAGATTTTAAAAATATATACAGTGGTGTTGCTGAGAGTGACTGGTGGACAGGCGAGCAGTGGAGAGGAGTCAGGCTTGTAGAGAAGGCTATGGAAGGTCTATGGACAGTTTTCCTTTGGTTCTGGTCTGGGGGTGTAGGGGAGTGTGGGGGCCTCCTCCAACTCGCCTTTATTAAAGACGCAGACTGGCTCAGCCCACATCAATGCATACAGATTAAGCAGTGTTAATGTTGAGCACTCCAGTTGTCCACATTTGAAGTAGCACAAGAATCCTTTCTAAAAGTCTGGGTTCCCCTGCAGTTCTTCAGCTTTCTGTGTGTGTGTGTGTGTGTGTGTGTGTGTGTGTGTGTGTGTGTGTGTGTGTGTGTGTGTGTGTGTGTGTGTGTGTGTGTCTGTGTGTCTGTGTGTGTGTGTCTGTGTGCAATGACTGATCCTTTACTCTGTTACTAGTAAAAGTTTCTAAAATATTTCTTTAGTAGAAGTACAGAAAAAATATGATCAAAATGTACATAAAGTATCAAAAGTACTCAATGCGGAAAAATGGCCCCTGTGAGTGATACAGCTGTTATTTCATATTATATTATTCTAACTGATGCATGTGTGTGCCAGCAGCATGTTAATTGGTTGAGAGGAATTTAGTTTTTAACTTTTCTTTCTACATAGAGTTGGGTAGTTTAATCTATAACAGTGCTTAATATTTTTTTTAGAAACTTGTGTTTTGTATATAAAATCCTAATTTGTAAAGTAAATACTAACTGACAAATAAATAAACTGGATATTTCTTTCTGAAATGTAATGAAATAGAATATATAAAGTATAAAGTGGCATCAAAAGGAAATACTGAAGTACAAGTACTTCAAATTTGTGTACTTAGTGTACTTAGAGTCCTCCACTGTCACTGGCAGTTTAATTTAGTCATAGTATAAAGTAATATTAAGGTAATATTAAGAAATTAAAAAAATAATCTTTTAAGCTGTGTCTTGAAATATTGTAATTATTATTTAAGTGTAAAATGTAAAAAAAATATTGATGTTACTAGACAGAAGGATGTGTGTATGGAGTGTAATACAATGTTACAGTTATCAGACACACACACAAACACACGCTTTTTAGCCAGTGCTCTTTTGAATTTGGTCGTGCTATTTTGTTGGGGAAACATGAGGTAACAGGGATAGTTGAACAAGTGGACATCCGGACATCAGCCTCCAGAGGTATGAATGGGTTTTTTGGAGTGGGGGTGGGAGGGGAGGGGGGTGTCATGGAATGGGACGTAAGCCCGGGACGGGGAGGCCTAGAGCTGGTGTTGAGTGTTCAGCACACCTCCTTCCCTGCGGCTCCGGTGGGCAGGATGTTAAGCTGGGTGAGCTGAGCCGAGTGTTCCTTGGCCTTGAGGCGCAGCGCTGCGATACTGGAGGCCCTGCGGTCTGCTGAGGAAGATGAGGAGGTGGAAGAAGAGGACGGGTCGGGGAGGACAGGGCCTGCATGCGAGGGGTTCTCTACAGGAGGGGCGGGCTGACGGAGGAGAGCTGCAGCGGTGGAAGCACTGGTCAGGGGACCCATACTGGAGAAGAGCCTGAAATTAGACAGAAATGTTACAATCTACGATACTTACGCATGCTGAACATGTTATTCAAGCTTAAATTGTTCACTGCCACATATCACAGAAGTTATATTTTTGAAAACTAAATCTTTGCTCCTTACATTAGAAAGCAGTGTTGGCTCAGAATAGTGTAGAGGAGGAAAACCACTGCCTGTTAATTAAGATTTTCACAGTCAGATGTATTATATTTCCTCTTAGTTTCTTCAGTTTGTCTGCAGTCGTCTTAAACCTCCTAAACAGATTGTCATCTATTGCATGCTGACTTCCCTAATATAAAAGATAACGTGGAAAGTGCAAGGTTAATGGTGCTGTATAATAGAGAGGACGGAAGCAAATGAGAAGCTAATTGTGGCATATGGAGTGTGCGGTGTCACCCCTCCTCACAGCTTGTCTTGCAGGATCACACGTTTGGTTAATTTATTAAGACATTTGACAGAGTGATTACACACCACTGTGAATGGTTAATAGTATAACATATTTATAATCAGACACTGAGATAAACAGTAATGCAGTGTGGATTACTGTAACCATCAGTCATTAGAGTTGCATGATTTCTTCATATTTTATTAAAAGCTCGCTTGCTGCTCTGCATTTTTCCGTACATGTACTTGACTGCAATATTGTAATCATTTAGTGTAAAATACAGGGATGAAATGTATAGTCCCACAGGTACAGAGATTGGTGGGTCCTTGTGTAAAGAACAGGTATCTGGTCCAAGGGAGGTTTGTGCTTGAGTGGGGCTCACCTGCCAAAAGTGGGTCCAATGAAGGCAGGGTGACGAAACATGGCAGCTGTGCCCAGGAAAGTGCCTAGACCAAGTGGGGTGGCCAGAGGTGGAGCCGAGCCGTTGTGGTGTGGTGGGGCCAGGCCTGGGAAGGCAGCGGCCGCGGCTGCAGCGGCTGTCCAGGCCGACTCGAGGGCTGGGTGGGGGTGATGAGGGAAGGGCCCTCCCTCCAGGTAGTGGCTAAGGGGGTGGCCCGCTGCCAGGGGCCCTGGGAACGGCAGGCCTGACGGGTGGGCCTGCACCCCGGCCTTCTCACGCTTCCTCCACTTGGCCCTGCGGTTCTGAAACCACACCTGAGGGCAGAAAGAGGTGATGACGCAGATTAGTATGAGCAGATATGGCTTATTTTATTTTTCCTTAAGTTAAAAGGAAGATTACCAAGGCAACATCAAATACATTTTGGTTCCAGGAAGACAGATAGAGATTATAAAGAAGCTGTATGTTGTTTAAAAATAAAAAAAATGTCTGAATCAATATATAAACATACATTTTTTGCTGTATAAAGAGGCCTTTTGTCTTCTCTAAATGACAAGATGCTCAGTTGGAGACAGGTCAAACACGTCCATATAACTGTTGGGTTAATTAAAACTGTAACTCCCTGTCCTGCTTAGATTATGGGAACGTTTCATTGTAATTAACAGGACCAGACTCTATTGAATGTTGTGTCAGTGTAGTCCAATCGCTTTCTAGTTCAGGTGGTGGCCAATAGGCGGAAAGTCAAGGGTAATTACATGCAAGGTAAACCATGCCGCTCACGGTCCCTTAAATCTACTTTCTGTCTAATTAAACCCCCGTCCCTGTAGACGGGCTTCAGGGTGGGGAGAGATAATTAAGAGCAGTGTGTTAACAAAAGATCCAGAAAATTACCGCTGAACTGGCTCCAATAACAATTAATGCGCTTTAAATTAAATTCTTAAGAGAATGTAGAACAAGTGACTTCCATCCAAGAGACTATTTAACTTTCCCACGCATCCACTGTTGCCCAGTTTGCACTGCAGAAGCACGGGGCTCTCACAATGAGCAAAATGTCAACATGAGGAAAGTGCTTGAGCGACAGGGACTGCACAAACACACATACACACACATTATTCCCAGAGGGCTGTTTAGCATTACACAGCCCCTCGGGAATTTATGAGTTTTTATCACCTCCTGATGGCGCCCGTTAAGTGATTTGTTCACCTACGGCCCCTAAAAAGACATCTGTTGTTTTACCGTCGGCCATAACCTCCCGGAGCTTCCACCGTGTTTGAACTGTCTCTCTGGTTATGAGCCCGGGCTTTCGACATGCAAGCCACGCTTTTCATTGCGAGGCGAAGGAAAAGAGAGAGAGAGAGGGAGAGGGATGGAGAGAGTGTGGGGATGAGAGGGGGGGAGGGGGGGAGCAAACACCTTTAATGGTCTCTCATTCGCTCCCAAGTGCAAAGCATCGGATCAATGCAGGTCTATTGCAATCACATAATGGGAAATCAAATAGCATTATCCCTCCCCTCTTTCTCTCCATCCCCTCCCTCCCCTGTCTCTTTCTCTCTCTCCCTCTCTCACATACGCACACATCCTTTTACTCGCACACACATCTCGGGCCTCGCCCCCTCTCTCTGTCCGCTCTCTGATGGGAATCCAAACACCATCTCATCCCAGGAATATAGACAGTGTTTGCTCCTGCACTAAGTGAGCTTTTTATGAATCGCCAGCGTCGGCTTAATTGCCACTAAAACGTCCCCCGTCCGCGTGTAATAACATTCAATAACAGGAAAGACCTTCCCCGCGAAGCGACTGGGGCCATTTAACACGTTTTTACTGTAATAAATTACTGCCTCAAATTGGCCCGTAATCGTTGATCCTCAATCAGTGACGCATATCACCGGTTATTATCCAGCACCGTGCATCAGGGACATTTTATAGAGGACATAAAACATTAGAGGGTGCTGCTTCCCCCCCCTATCTGATTTACAAGCCACAGGCTCCTCTTTTCAGATAAAGATAAACAGAGAGCCACTTACTTGAACACGGGCCTCGGTAAGATCCAGGCGCATTGCGAGCTCTTCTCTGAAAAGAATATTTTAAAAAAAGAGGAGAAAAGAGGAAGAGAGACAGAAAGATTCAAGGTTACAGGCCACCGTTTGGAAGCAACGTAGAATTGCTGTTTTGTCCCCTCCTGTTGTTCACTGTCAACAATAGACGGCGAAAATAGGCTTGATTTTTTTTTTCTCCCTTCTTCATGGCATGGGCTGCAGAAAGACGCCATAGCCATATTCTATTCTCCCTGTCACGGATGGGTAGAAATAGGCCTAGTGATTGTTAGATTTTCCTTAGCACAGGCCTGTCACTGTAACAACATAATGGTTGAAATAATGACATCTAAACTAGCCTGCCACAAAGCAATTGACGCTCCCTTCAGCTGCGAGATGGGCTTGCAGTGTAAATTAGACCAACAAGTCGCCTTAAAGTAAATCGATTGGAAAATATGAATAATCCCAGTAGTAATAAAAAATAAAAATAAAACAAGTTCTTGTGTCTGGCTCAGTGTAAAAAAAAGCTTATATTTTCAAGCAGAAAATGCGGATGTGTCAATTATCAAAATCTTAATTGAGCAGAAAATAGGTGTGAATTTTATTTATAGACGAGTTTATTTTGTTTTTAGGCCATACTGCATAAAAATCATATAATGTATTTTTTTTAAAAACATTTCTTCCAGCATAAACCGCTCAGAAAAAGCTCTGTAGTTCAGTCTGTGTGTGTGTGTGTGTGTGTGTGTGTGTGTGTGTGTGTGTGTGTGTGTGTGTGTGTGTACACCTGCCCTTGGGCTTGTGGTTAGGCCCTGAGTTTTATTTTTAATTCTTTTGTTTTTTTGCAGACTGTATTCAGTATCATGTCCAGCAGGTAACCTGAGTTGCAGCGATTAATTATTCCTCCTGAGAATAACACCGCTGTCATCAACAGGAGCGGATACAGGTAACAAAACGTCCCCATTGTTAGCACTTACAGGCCTATTGTGTTCACTTATGCAAGGCACGGGTTTGGTGTTGGGGCATTTTATGAGGTGTGATCCGCATAGTGTCCAGTTAAAGACGTTAGGAATTACTGGAACTGTTTCTGGAAAATTTTATGGGGTCGAGAAGTGTTTATTTAAAAATAAATGCAATTAATTAACACCTGCATCCACTGAATTATTAGAGAACACGTTGCATTAATGTGTCTTGATACGTTTTGTTGGACATTATTTCAAATCTGTAATAATAATAATATTATTATTATTAATAATAATAATATAATTGAATGAGACACAATTATTGTAAAATAGTGTAATAATATACATTTTATATGCATGCAAATTAAAATTCCTAGGCCTAGTTTTTGTAATTTCTTATTTGTAAACGTATACAATGCAGAATTAGTGTTATAATAATAATAACAATAATAATATTATTAATAATAATATTTTTAGAGGGAGACAAAATTATAGAATTTTTTAACGAAGTTTGCAGACTTAAAATAATGAAGATGTCATCAGTTTATATGGTTCTTACCTGGTGAAGACATCGGGGTAGTGTGTCTTCTGGAAAGCCCTCTCCAGCTCCTCCAGCTGGTAACTGGTGAACGTAGTCCTGTATCTTCTCTGCTTCCGTTTCAGCATCCCTTCCTCCGAGTCACTGCCCGCCGACAGACACACGCTGTCCTCCCCGTCCCTCACGTCCCCATCCCCGGCGTTCAAGCTCTCCCTCTCCTCGTCCTTCGGGGACAGTGCGGCCGCGTCCCCGCAGCTCTCCTCCTTCCCTGCGTCCTCCTCGAACTTCAAAGGGCCGAGCTCTACCAGTCCCAGGCTGCCGTCCTCCGAGCCCTCCCCGGGGCTCTGGTCGCCCTCTCCCCGGCTCAGCGACGCGTTCTCCCGGTAGGACTTGCTGCGGCTGATGCTCACCTGCGGCGCCTGGCTGATTTTGAGGCTGTCGCTGGCTTGTTCTAGGAGGAGCCGCTCCCTGTCCAGCGTCTCTGCGTGGTCGTGGAGGTACTTCCCCCCGGGTCCGTACAGCCGGCGGAGCTTAGGCGGCAGGTGCATGTCTGCGCTGAGAGAAAGGGGGTCTTTCGTTTGCCCTGAGAAAGAAGCGTGTCAAAAATGTCAAAATAACGAATAACAAAATGGCAGCAAATAAGCAAAGCAAAAAAAAAAAAAAAAAGTTTAATGCTTGTGTAGGCCTGTAAACAATTCTTCCACATATACAACAGCTGTTTAGTATTTTCATTACCTAACAATTATGAAATCAACGAGATTAAAGCGTAAAACGAGCTGACTTTCTGGCTACCTGAAACACAACTCTTATCGGTGCATTAACTACACACTTTGAGCATAAAACTAGCTCATTTGTTACACGTTTTATCTCCTACATTGCTGCCGAATAACCAACACACACTCTCCTTTTGAATTTCAGCTTCAATACAACTTACTGTCAGCGGTCTTGTCGAGCTCCCCTCTGCCGGGCAGACCCGTCAAACTTTGCGCCCCTATCAGTCTGACCTTACAGGGACTCCGGCGGCCCAGTATGCTGTCTATGCAGTAAGAGGAGAGCAGCGTCGGGGATTTGCTGCTCTTCCTCTCGCCCCGGTCGTGGATATCTTCCTCAAACTGACCGCTCATGTCGACGCTTCGGTTCGTCTAGTTTCGGTAACGCCTGTCAGTCTCCCACTCTCTCTCCCTCTCTCTCTCTCTCTCTCTCTCTCTCTCTCTCTCTCTCTCTCTCTCGCTCGCTCGCACGGGGTCCGGTGCTCTCTTCTTCTTCTTGTTCTTCTTCTCTCTTCTCAGGCCGGTGTGTCTGTTTGAACCGGGACCTCCTCCCTCTCTCTTCTCTCTTCTCTCTCTCTCTTTCTCTCTCCCTCCCTCTCTCTCTCTCTCTCTCTCTCTCTCTCTCTCTCTCCTCGGTCACTCCTCTGTCACACTCTCAGCTAATGACAGACAGCGGTTTGACTGCCTCGCGCTGCGCTCAGGTCTTGCCAGGCGCCTCTCCGCTCCGCGCGCTCGCTCAGCAGACGTGTAGGCTGTTATCGCGCGCCTGATTGGCTCGTATGTGTGTATGTGGGGAGAGGGACAGCGCGGAGCCGCTTTATATATTTTACGATTAAAGTTAATTTGAGGGAAAGGCGACAAAACCTGACATGGAGTGGGGTTTCCTTCGCGGAACGAACTCAGCAGCTGAAGTTACAAAAAGCAAAGCAATTTAAATCAGGGTTGTTGTTTTTTTTTCTGGCTTTTAGGTTTGATTTTAGTTTTTATTTCGGTGAAGTTAAAAAAGGAATGTTTGAAATTCTATGAGAGCAGAAACAGCACTCAAATGAAGTGATTTGATAATGTAATGGTGTTTTTGGCAGACCTGCGACTAAGCACAGGTGTGTTTTATTAACATTAATTAAGTGTAACAGAGTAGCCAAAAGCTGCAACCACGATGATCAGCACCCTGAGTGTTGGTCGACGAGTGCATAACACACGATCACAACAGGTTTTTATTTCAAACAGTTTGATATGTCACAGCATGAAAAGCACAGGTGTAAATAATAAAATGAATGATCCATTTAGCTGCTTTGGTTTTCAGGGTTGTGCGCGTCGGCCCAATGGCATGACTCACATGAATAAAACAGGCATTATCAACGTGATTAGTAACATTTGTGCTTTTCCTGCAATGACACATGTTAAAAAGGCCAATTCTGTTCCCAGTTTTCCTGTAGGTAATGTAGTAACATTACAGTGTTATGTTATTATTGCATTAATACATTACAGTAGTAATATAACTGGTGATATTGTATGCCACAGGGTTTTAAAGTAATGGCCCCTTTTCACAATTCCATCCCTAAAGGCTAATATATTTATAGGCACACACTTAATTTATGTAATTTATTATGCTTTAAAATGTTTAGAAAGTGTATATTATTATTATTATTATTATTATTAATAATAATAATAATAATAATAATAATAATAATAATACAATTAAAATAAATATAACAGCCTTATTGTAATTTACTGAATTAACTCATTTTGCTATTATTTTATTTATGTATTACTTGGCCTACATACGATAAACTGCATTGCTTTCATTTTTTCTGGCCATTCAAACACTGTCTCCTGAATCCTTGTGCCAATGTAAAAAAGAAATCTGGCGCGGAGTTTGCGCTCAACCTCAAGCAGCACCTGCGAAAGCCATGTCAGAGATTGAGTCACACAGAAATAGAAATATCAACACTGGGATCAGAATTTGACTAAAGAAACTGTTTCAGGTTGCACTATTGGAAAAAATAATGTGTTTATGACTGAAGGAAAATAAACACTAATAGAATCATATTAATACATAAATGTTAGGCCTCCTATATCTATCTATCTATCTATCTATCTATCTATCTATCTATCTATCTTTCTTTCTTTCTTTCTTTCTTTCTTTCTTTCTTTCTTTCTTTCTATCTATCCTTGCTCTCTCCCACCAACTGCCTGCTCTCTGCTGGAGTTGTGGATTGACTTCAAAAGTGAGGGTGGCGCGACGGTGATGAGACGCCGCACGGGGAGCCGGGATAGCACGCAGGGACTCCGCTGTGGAGAGGGGGAGAGATGGAGAGATGGATCGAGAATGTAATTTTAAATGAAAGTCTATTTAACCCGCTGTGAATGGCATGACCCTTATCCTCGCCTCAGAGCCCATCACTGTTAAAAGGATCATTTTCAGAATTCAATCCAAAAACTTCAGCAAGCTGCAATTTACTCTCTCCTTCTCTCTCCCTCTCTGTCTCCCCCTTCCTCCCCTCCGTTATGTATCTGCCCGGGCTGGAGCATCGAAAAATAACAATAAAATATAAGTCCAGAACATTGCACAAGTCTTTTTTTTTATTATTCCTTTTCATCTGTTTTTACACGAAAGCTTTATGACCTTTGTGTAATTGAAACTGGAATAAGAGCCTCATTGATCTGTTTAGTTAAGCTGCAGGCCGCTCAGTAGATTTAGTGGAGGTAAACCAAACTATCTCAGTTTTCAAGTGTTTTTTTAAATATATATTTAACAGCCACACAAATGCCATGAAAGGTATCTGCAGAAAAAAAAACACTTAAGTCGAAAAATAATGCCTTTCTGACCGTATTAACGTCCCTGTGTTGCACGTTTCCTCTGTGCCAAATTGAGTTTCAGACAATACAAAGTCAATATATCATTTTCCTGCCTTCTGCATTCATAAAACATGCTGTACTCTAATGGTATTATAAGCAGATGCACACTGTCACGAGGCGGATGGTGTCAGATTCAATTCATCCGCAACTTTTTGTGGTGTCACAAACTTCCGAGCTTGTTTATTTGCACGCAAATCAATGTAATGAGTGTAATAACAATATAAAATGTTATGCCTTTTCCTGCGCGGTCACAAACAGACGTGCGTAATACAGACGGGTATTTAGAGTCGCTCTGTAATTTGGGGGCCACAATTTGATTCATTTATCCGCACACTGTTATTAACCCTGTGGAAAAAGAGATGTCAGCCGCCATTTCAGCCAGCAGGACATCCGCGCTTTGTTTAAATGCACTAATTACGCGCATACATTAGAGGGGGACGGAATAGTCAGAGCGCAATTTTCACATTTTCAATTTTCCGTCTATTTGACGTGCAGGTGAAGAGATGGCGGAGAGAGGCCGCCTTCCGTTTCAGCACCACCTCACCACCGCCTCCCCTGTATTTGCATAACATCCTAACTTGATGATATCCAGTGGGGAACACCGGGCTGTGCGCTTTCTGTTCGTCTAAAGCTCAGACACTGCTGCTGTGTCACTGTGTGTTAGACTTCTGGTGTCATGTACCCTGGCCATTTATGTTAAGTATATTCAAGTCAGGAGGAGGGTTTGTGTATTAAAACCGTGCTTTGATTGCACACATTTGAACAGCTCTTTCTCCTGATGCAGGCTGTCTCCCTTTCAGCCCATGTCTCGTCCTCTCTCCACTGAAGGCCATGGAAGTGATACTAATAAAGTCCATCGTTTAGGTCCAGCAGGTTTGCCTTGCAGGTCATTCAACTGGCGCCATCTCCTGGAGGGAATAGCAAACTGCCCTAACAGGTAAGACCATTTATTTTAATGTAAGGACAGATGCTCTGAAATAGCTATTGTTCTGCATCCATAGTGCACAATCCAAAATGCTTCATAATCTGTGTATTTGCGCTTTTCTCCCTCTTGCTTCATGGGCTATGTGGCCTATCTGTGTGCGTGATCCTCGGGAATAAAGCAATTTATAACGCCATCCACCTGTAGAGGACAGGTATCCTACATCTAACCACGCAGAGATATCAGTTTTCCATTATCCCACAAGTTTGTCCCTATATGCAACACGTGCAAATTCTGGTCCCTATCGTGCACCAACTGGCTCGTGGCCTTGGTGACGACGACTCATCCTCCACCCTCCATCCATCCTCGCGCTCTGACATAATTGGACACTTGCTCTGCTTGAGAGGCCGAGCAGGAAAGGAAGGAAAGGAGAGAGAGAGAGAGAGAGAGAGAGAGAGAGGGAGAGAGCGTGCGTCTGGGAGGGGTGGGAGGCTTTTAAGGCGCGCGTAAGCAAAGTTAATTAGCGGTTATTAACAGCCCGCATAATGAGAGCGAGAGGGAGTCAATTTAATGACTTTGTTAGCGCGAGTTTAGAGCGACAGGCGATGATCGAAACAACAAAGGCGAGCGCGCACGCAGCCATCATCCGTAATTTCCAGCGGTAATGCGGTCTGATCAGAAACAAAGGGTTCTAATTTCGTTCAACTGACTCGATAATTTGTCCTTATGTAAGGAAAATAATTAATGACTTAATGCTTCAACAGAAGTAGCTTTCTTTGGGAGGGATTTCGGATGCCTCGTTTGCTGGAGAAGGTCGTAAGGAAATCAATTTCCAGGCCTATAATTATTTACATCATGAATTTAAAACGTGGACGTGTGCCTTTGCTTTGGTTAGTGTGCAGACGAATGAGAGTCTATTAGGAGAGGAGAGAAGGAGTCTCCAAATCTTCTTCCCCCAAACAAATTGTGTGTGGCAACAAATGAGCCACTTGTCATAATGTAGTATTGCAGATTTTGCCATTAGGACACAAAGACAATCATGCCAAATCAAAGAGAAATAAATGTAGGTTTTTTTAAAGGCACATAGAAGCTAGAATCCAACCAAAATATAAATGATATTTAAGATTCCTCATCAGACCAGGTTTGGAGGTTTTGGTGACAGGTGATACCTGATCATACCTTGGCGCTCAGCTGAATTGATGGCTCTCACACCCTGTACCTGTTCCCGACAGTGTGCCAGGTTATTGTGGCTGCTGCATTGCAAAATTATCCCGAGGCGTGCGCGTCTTTACGCATGATTTCATCATTCCACAGATGAGTTGAGTCGGAGGAAAGATGTGAGCTCTATTATCGATTGCGGGGACATGAGCCGCCTGTGGTCCACTCTTGGATTCATGGTAGGTGGATAGGTCACCCACACGAGAGCGGCAATTTCACGGCCCCCATTGTCTCCACTGATGACTGCTTTGATCACAGGAATCAAGAGCCCGAGACTCTCCTAAACCTACTACGGAGTCCAGGAGCTCGTGAGCTGAAGAGGTCATCATCATCATCATCATCATCATCCTCTGCCACATCATCATCATAATCGTCATCATCATCGCTAGTTGACCATACAAACCTGGGGTGCCGTGTGTTTTCACAGCCGCGTTGCCCTTTTATTGATTGCGTGCCTTAATTTTAATTCGATTGCGCGAGTGTCAAAAAATCCGCAAGAATCATCCTAGTAATGAGATAATCAAAGTAATATATGCAAATCAGTTATGTTGCCAGCTTATCAAAACCAGAGTGCCCCCCCTTGAGTCTGAAGAAGTCCATTTATTCAGTTAGTGGCAATACCTTGCGCAAATGGCGCGATGCAAATGACAGTTGATTAGACTAAATTAAGAACCTCGTTTCTCCCTGACCTTGTCTGAGTTTTATGTAAATTCTTTTTTTCTTGCTTTAATGTGATAAAAATGCATTTTACACCCTGGCCTTTATAAATCTGAACACTATTTTCCATGAGAGAAACAATGGTCAGCCTCAAATAACTTAGTGTGTCAATAGCTTGTATGACTCTCTATATCTGTCTGTTTTCAGTCTGTCTGTCTGTCTCTCACAAATATCAGTATATCTTGACCCCAGTGCAGCTCCCACAGGGACAGAAAGTGTGCCGCTATAACTTCCTTGCTGTGGGGGAGTGTGTCTTGAAGATAGACTAGGTGTGTGTGCCATTGAGTGTGTGTCTGCATGTGTGTGTGCCTGTGTGTGTTTACACGATTTTGTGTACTCATGTGTGTGCCATAACATATTGTCTTAGGGGACAGAGAGAGTGCAGTTGAGACTTCCTCTCTGTGGGGTGTGTGGGGCCTGTAGATGGGAAAGGAATAAATCCAATATAGATTGCAGGGCTGCGCTGCCTCCCGCTGGGGACCCTCAGACTTGCAGGCCAGGATCGAAGTGCTTTTCTCCCCCTAAATTGGCCTGAGAGGCCGCAGGAGCAGCTGAGCTACACCCCCAACACTGGGACTGCCTACGACCTAATGATGGTGCTGGGGACAGACACACAGATACACATGCATACACAGAGCCAGAGACGTGCGCGTGTGCACATACACACCGAAACTCACACACAATCATTCCCAGATTGATATAACATCAGTCACACACTTGCACCAGTCAAACACACACTTGGAAAAGAAAACCATACAGATATAAACACACCCTCCTCGTTCTCTGATGTTGAACACACTCATTCCTTGTCCAGAGACCATTCACCTCAAGTTTTCCTCTTCACATCTCAGACCACCCCTCAAAACTACCTAGCTAAACTACAGATTTAGAGGAGGCATCCTCACTACCTGTCCACGCACTCCAGTGGGAGGGGTGAATAGTATAACTGGTACCACACTAAGTGTTTGGACTGATACACACTTCTGCCCTTTGGTTCCCCTACAAGGAAAACACCACCAGCACCTCAGTGCCATTATGCTTCCTGCCAAACATCCAGCCACTGCCATTTTGGTTCTGTCCAGGGAGCTAATTCTATTTGTGATGAGGTGTCTGGTGCATTGCTGTGTCAGGTCCAGAGACAGTGTGACAGAATATCCTATAGCTGGACATTTGTGGCTCAGTATGTCTCATTATCTCACAGGGCCCTCTCTGTTAACTACAGAAAGCCACTACATAGCTCATCTGTAGAGGATAACAGGTTGCAGAGATGAATACAAAGATATAGAAACACATACATATTCGCAAGTCCTTCTTTTGAGCTGGTTTTTGCATGGTGTGAATCAATAGCCTGCCATATTATTACATTTTATGTATAGCTTAACATAGCCACTTCCAACTAATACTGCTCCTCCTCTTATTTATGTACGATAAATACATTTGCGTTATTGACTTTTAAACAAGGCCATGTTAAACTGCCATGTTTGTACAGTAGCCCAGAACAGACCAACCAAACACTGGCTCTAGATAGGACAGTTTTCACGGCCACTGTAATTTCTCCTTCACGCTTGGGAAGGAAGGGTGAAGCGAGTGAGTTGCAATCTGCAACAACACAGCTAGATGGTCCAAGAAATGATTGCCACAAATAACAAAAGAATGGATAATAAACTGATAATCTTATGGGTATTCAAGGTAGGAATACAGTATCTACAAACGAAATGTGTTTTTACCTTTCTTGTCACTTTACTTTGTTTAAGAAAATAAACTTTTCTTTGATTATTTACAGTCCATTGGAATTAAATGTACTAGTACTTTGTTTTGCTAGGTGTCAGTCTGTCCGTCCACTATTCATATATATTCTGATATCAATATAATAAATGAATCTACAATTCCATAGATTTAAATATTTTATTCAGCTTAATCACATCAAATCACATTAAATAATCCACTAATGTTAAATTCAGAAGGTAAGAGGATGGTTACTGCTGCTCTGCTAATAAGTTTGTTGGCTTTAGGTGGAGTTTAGCTTACGTTTTTTTTCTCTAGCATGACTGGAGTTAGCTACCGCCTTGTATGGAATGGATAACTGAATTACCAAGATAAAAATCAATCAAAATTGATTGATTTTTCAACTACGGATAACGGCAAGGGGAAAGATAAGTACAACAAGTGAATCTAGTTTTAGCTTTAGCTAACATTTAACAGGCTTTAGCTGTCTTTCTGTGGCAGAGTGCAGCTAATGTGACAGAGCCCACAGAGTGCAGTTCCTGAGGTTTTACTTGGTTTTTAGCTTTATTTTGTAGTTACTGCAAATTTAAAAAGCTGTTTTTACAGAAATTTGACATTTCTATGATGATATTTCAGATTAAGGCCTAGATAGGGCAATTTTTCACTTGTTTCGTGGCTACCATAGTTTCTTCTTCGTGCTTGGAATAGGTGGGTGAAGCGAGGGAGTTGTAATCTGGAACTACACCACTAGATGCCTCTAAAAATCCTACACACCTGACCTTTAACTCAATTTTGACCAAATATTTAATTACATGCATTTTGGATTTGTATGGCAGTAGGTATGGACAGTATTAACACGCTTTCTGTTGATATCTCCTTTGCTATAGGTGTCATTTTGCTCTCTTTAACCTACTAACAGAGACCCACTGGAAGTGAACAAACTGCACAACGTTGCCTTCAACACTTCTTGCTCGTCAGTCACAAAACAAACTGCACGGACTGCTGCTGTTACTATGAGTAAATAGACATGAGATATTGAAGGTTTTTTAAATCACTATCTTTAGATTTCTTCAACAGTTCTAAACTTCTTGCTCGTCGCAGTAGCTAGCGAGTAGCAAACATTAACAAACGTTGTGTGAATTACCTGAATTCCCCACAATGCCTTACGAAGCGATTCGCTAGTTTCCCATACAAAATCACTGTAAGCCATCTCACATCATGCATCGTGGGTGTTACTCATCCACTCGTCTCCTTCCTTATCCACTCCTGACTTATCTTTGCTGTTCCATCTTTTATCTTTTCTCTCCTTTCTGTCTTCTCTACTATTTTCCACTTTGTATTTTCTCCCTTTCAGCTCCATCACGCCTCTCTTGTCTCTTGACGCTGATACACCTTTCACCTTGTTGTCTTCAATTCTTCACTTCTGTCTCTGCTATGGCACACTACATGATGTTTTTCTTGTGGCTATTTCCATGTCTTGTTTTGTTTAATAACTTATCTGTGGCTGTGTAGAAAGCAACATCCCTATTCATGTGTACATATGCTTTGCCATAAGTCAGAACATATACACATCTACTGATAAAAATGCATACTAAATACCTTGAATGCAAAAACACATGCAGTACATAAACATAGGCCACAAACAGATACACAACAAAATCCTTTTGACATCAATAATTGGTAAATCCTCTGATTAACTTGTAAGAATCGTCCTTAGAGTGCTTAAGTAATTGTGTTTGTGTGTGTCCTTTTTTATTGCATGCACCCCCCTCTCTTTAAAGCACATCTTTATAACCAAGCAATTCCAAAGCAATTTTCTCTGTGGGAGGAGAGTGTAATTTTCTATTCTGTGACACTGTGATGTGTAAGAAACTGGGAGCTGGCGCTAAAAGGCGTCTGTAGTGTGTGTCTTGGTGTGGGTGTGAGCCTCTTTAATGGCCAACGCGGGGCGGGCGGCGGTGGTGGTGAGCGGGTGCATGTCAGGAAGGCCATCATTTAATGACTCCCAAATAGTGCCCTCCTCGTTAGAGCTATCGTCCTGGAAACACGAGGCTGTGAACCAGGAGAGCGCCACACGCTGCAACAGTCTTTTATCTTCATATTAAACCATTTGCATAACATTACCGCGATAGATAGGATTCAGGAGATACTCAACCTACTCAGGGAGAGACAGAGAGGGTATACTACATGTCCTTGCAAATCTAATCAGCGTTAAATGGAGCTGTCAAATGTGTGTGTGTGTGTCTGTGTGTGTCTGTGTCTGTGTGGAACTGGATGGCTCATGTCAGGAGTCATTTAACATTAAGCTGCAATAGTGTGTAACAGGGCTGTAATTACAAAATACAAGAATCCAAGCTATTTTTTGTTAGATGTGACATCCAAATACAGCAGTTACCCACCAGTGATACACAAGATGAGGCCAGGTGGTGACAATTCAGATGTCATGTGCACTTATGTCCTTCACAAAGTTAAGTTTCAGTGTTCTTTTCTTGACATATTGAGCAATTTTTTTACATAGTTGTGGCAACTCCACAGAATACAAAGATGTAGCCAATTAGAATAAATCGCATCGCTGCCATTTCTTAAATTGCTGATGTGTTTTGCAATGATGGTTGAATTTTGTGTGATATCAGCGGGCGAACAAAAGACTCAATTTCATGTTTTGCGTAGATTCAACACCACATCTATACTGTAGTCTATAAAGTGGTGTTTTGCTTTCCTTTGTGTCTAAACGAGTGTATATGACAGGTGCTCTTCCCCCTGCTCAAAGAAGAATAAAGAGAAGACTAAAAGAATCTCATTACTGTAGAGAAACAAGAGCAGGAAAGTGTGTAAGCACACACTAATTAGTTGTTGCTACTTGCTACTGCCTGATTAATTTAATCAAAAGTACACTTGATCTATATATAACTACCAGTATGCAGACACATGTTTTAACAACTATAACTGTGGTTACATATATATATATATATATATATATTTCTTTTAAGCTTAAATA